GTATCAAATTCACACATAACAATATTAACCCTAAATGTAAATGGGCTAAATGCACAAATCAAAAGACACAGACTGGCAAATTGGATAAAAAGCCAAAACCCATCAGTGTGCTGTATCCAGGAAACCCATCTCACATGCAAGGATACACAAAGGCTCAAAATAAAGAGATGGAGGATTTACCAAGCAAATGGAGAGCAAAAAAAAGCAGGAGTTGCAATTCTCATCTCTGATAAAACAGACTTTAAAGCAACAAAGATCAAAAGAGACAAATAAGGACATTACATAATGGTAAAAGGATCGATACAACACGAAGAGAAAATGATCCTAATTATATATGGACCCAATGCAGGAGTACCCGTATATAAGGCAAGTTCTTAATGACTTACAAAGAGACTTAGACTACCACACAATAATAGTGGGAGACATTAACACTCCACTGTCAATATTAGACAGATCAACCAGACAGAAAATTAACAAGGATATCCAGGACTTGAACTCAGACCTGGAACAAGCAAACCTGATAGACATTTACAGAACTCTCCACCCAAATCCACAGAATATACATTCTTCTCAGCACCACATCACACCTACTCTAAAATTGACCACATAATTGGAAGCAAATCACTCCTCAGCAAATGCAAAACAACTGAAATCATAACAAACAGTCTCTCAGACCATAGTGCAATCAAGTTAGTACTCAGAATTCAGAAATTAACTCAGAACTGCACAGCTTCATGGAAACTGAACAAGTGGCTCTTGAATGTTAACTGGATAAACAATGAAATAAATGAAGGCAGAAATAAAGAAGTTTTTTGAAAACAACGAGAATGAAGACACAACATACCAGAATCTCTGGGACACATTTAAAGCAGTCTCTAGAGGAAAATATATGGCAACAAGTGCCCACATGAGAAGAGTGGAGAGATCCAAAACTGACACCCTATCGTCAAAATGGAAAGAGCTAGAGGAACAAGATCAAAAAAACTCAAAACCTAGCAGAAGACAAGAAATAACGAAGATCAGAGCAGAACTGAAGGAGATAGAGACACGAATAACCCTTCAAAAAAATCAATAAATCCAAGAGCTGGTTTTTTGAAAAGATCAACAAAATAGACCACTAGCCAGACTGATAAAAGAGAAAAGAGAGAATAACCAAATAGATGCAATAAAAAATGATAAAGGGGAAATCACCACAGATTCCACAGAAATTCAAACCATCATCAGAGAATATTACAAACAACTCTATGCACATAAACTAGTAAACCTGGAAGAAATGGATAAATTCCTGGACACTTGTGTCCTCCCAAGCCTAAACCAGGAGGAAGCCGAAACTATGAACAGACCAATAACAAGGTCTGAAGTCGACGCAGCAATTAAGAACCTACCACACAAAAAAAGCCCAGGTCCAGATGGGTTCACAGCCGAATTCTACCAGACACACAAAGAGGAGCTGGTACCATTCCTTCTGAAACTATTCCAAATAATCCAAAAAGAGGGAATCCTTCCCAAATCATTTTATGAGACCAACATCATCCTGATACCAAAACCCGGCAGATACTCAACAAGAAAAGAAAACTTCAGGCCAATATCCATGACGAACATAGATGCAAAAATCTTCAATAAAATACTGGCAAGCCGATTGCAACAGCACATCAAAAAGCTTATCCACCATGATCAAGTAGGATTCATCCCGGGGATACAAGTCTGGTTCAACATACGCAAGTCTATAAACGTAATTCACCACATAAATAGAACCAAAAACAAAAACCACATGATTATCTCAATTGACGCAGAGAAGGCCTTTGACAAAATTCAACAGCCCTTTATGCTAAAAACCCTCAATAAACTCGGTATTGATGAAATGTATCTCAAAATAATAAAAGCTATTTACAACAAACCAACAGCCAATACCATATTGAATGGGCAAAAACTAGAAGCATTCCCTTTGAAATCTGGCACTAGACAAAGATGCCCTCTCTCACCACTCCTATTCAATATAGTACTGGAAGTTCTAGCCAGAGCAATCAGGCAAGAAAAAGAAATAAAGGGTATACAAATAGGAAAGGAGGAAGCCAAATTGTCTCTATTTGAAGACAACATAATAGTATATCTAGAAGACCCCATCGTCTCAGCCCAAAAACTCCTGAAACTGGTAAGCAACTTCAGCAAAGTCTCAGGATACAAAATCAATGTGCAAAAATCACAAGCATGCCTATACACCAATAACAGACTGAAAGAGAGCCAAATCAAGAACCAACTGCCATTCACAATTGCTACAAAGAGAATAAAATACCTAGGAATACAACTGACAAGGAACATAAAGGACCTCTTCAAGGAGAACTACAAACCACTGCTCAATGAAATAAGAGAGGACACAAACAGATGGAGAAACATTCCATGTTCATGGTTAGGAAGAATCAATATCGTGAAAATGGCCATACTGCCCAAAGTAATTCACAGACTCAATGCTATCCCCATCAAGCTACCAATGACCTTCTTCACAGAACTGGAAAAAACCACCTTAAATTTCATATGGAACCAAAAGAGAGCCTGCATAGCCAAGTCAATTCTAAGGAAAAAGAACACAGCAGGAGGCATCACACTACCGGACTTCAAACTATACTACAAGGCTACAGTAATCAAAACAGCATGGTACTGGTACCAAAACAGAGATAGAGACCAATAGAACAGAACAGAGGCATTGGAGGCAACACAACATATCTACAACCATACAATCTTTGATAAACCTGACAAAAAGAAGCAATGGGGAAAGAATTTCCTGTTTAATAAATGGTGTTGGGAAAACTGGCTAGCCATGTGCAGAAAGCAGAAACTGGACCCCTTCCTGACACATTACACTAAAATTAACTCCAGATGGATTAAAGACAAACATAAGACCTGGCACCATAAAAACCCTAGAAGAAAATCTAGGCAAAACCATTCAGGACATAGGAGTAGGCAAGGACTTCATGAACAAAACACCAAAAGCATTGGCAACAAAAGCCAAAATAGACAAATGGGACCTAATCAAACTCCACAGCTTCTGCACCGCAAAAGAAACAGTCATTAGAATGAATCGGCAACCAACAGAATGGGAAAACATTTTTTGCAGTTTACCCATCTGACAAAGGGCTGATATCCAGAATTTACAAAGAACTCAAACAGATTTACAAGAAAAAAACAAACAAGCCCATTCAAAAATGGGCAAAGGATATGAACAGACACTTTACAAAAGAAGACATACATGAAGCCAACAAACATATGAAAAAATGCTCATCATCACTGGTCATTAGAGAGATGCAAATCAAAACTACATTGAGATACTATCTCATGCCAGTTAGAATGGTGATCATTAAAAAATCTGGAGACAACAGATGCTGGAGAGGATGTGGAGAAATAGGAGCACTTTTACACTGCTGGTGGGTGTGTAAATTAGTTCAACCATTGTGGAAGACAGTGTGGTGATTCCTCAAGGACCTAGAAATAGAAATTCCATTTGACCCAGCAATCCCATTACTGGGTATATATCCAAAGGACTATAAATCATTCTACTATAAGGACACATGCACACCAATGTTCATTGCAGCACTGTTTACAACAGCAAAGACCTGGAACCAACCCAAATGCCCATCGATGATAGACTGGACTGGGAAAATGTGGCACATATACACCATGGAATATTATGCAGCAATCAAAAACAATGAGTTTGTGTCCTTTGTAGGGACATGGATGAATCTGGAGAACATCATTCTCAGCAAACTGACAAAAGAACAGAAAATGAAATACCGCATATTCTCACTCATAGGCGGGTGATGAACAATGAGAACACATAGACACAGGGAGGGGAGCACTACACACTGGGGTCTATTGGGGGGAATAGGGGAGAAACAGTGGTGTGGGGAGCTGGGGAGGGATAGCATGGGGAGAAATGCCAGATGTGGGTGAAGGGGAGGAAGGCAGCAAATCACACTGCCACATGTGTACCTATGCAACTATCTTGCATGTTCTGCACATGTACCCCGAAACCTAAAATGCAATAAAAAAATTTAAAAAAAATTCCAATGTAAGATAAAAAAAAAATTAAAAAGTCTGACAAGTCCAAATGTTGAAAAGAATAAGAAGCATCATGATTATGCATTCGTGGTAGGAGTACAAACTGGTACACTCCCTCTGGAAAGCAATTTGGCATTATATTTTAAAGTTAAACATTTAAATAGCCTATGACTCATCAGTTTCACTCCTATATACTCTAGAATACAGATGGAATATGTGGAAGAGGAGTCATGTACAAGAAAGTTCTTAGAAGTACTATTCATAATAGCAAAAAACAAGATAAAACAAACAGACAACGACAACAAAAACAGGAAACAACCCAAATGTCTATCAACAAGAATCTGGAGCAAAAGTTTTTGTCTTACCATGGAACATAGAAGTATACATACAACTATAGCTACTCAAAATAGTTAAATCTCAGAAATATGATGCTGTATTCCAAAAGCAAACACTAGATGACAACATATAGTATACCTTTCTTCAATTAAGAGACAATACTACTAAAGAATATATTATTTAGGCACATGTACATGTGATAAAACCAACTGAGAAACCAACAAAGGAATGAAAAACATGAAATCTAGAATAATGGTTACCTGTGATGCAGATGGAAGGAGATGGAATAAAACAAGAAATACCTAAGTGGAAGAAAGTAATATTCTAGGTCTTGGATTGGGGTTGGAAAATGTGTACTTTAAAAATAAGTTAATAAACAATGAAATTGTCATAACTGTAAGAATTCCAAATGTTTTATAAGCTGTATCTGTCATTTACTGCTGAGGAGATACCAAGACTTATATAAATAAACTTGATACCTTAGAAATTTCAGTGAATCAATAAATAAACTCTTGAAAAATTCAATGCAAGTATGATTCTTAAAACTTTTATACCATTTTCCTGAACTTTTTTTTTTCAAAAAAGAAAGGAATGAAAGGGCTTTACAATACCTGATTGCCATGAAGATCCAAGACATCTAAGCTTTTTAGATTCTCCAGATTTGATATTTTCTTGATTCTGAAAACCAGAATAAGTAGAATAGGAATATGGATATATCACATCTATCTGTATATCAAAGCCTGCTAAGTCATAAAGGTGTAACTCATTTTAATGATACCATGTAACTCTATATATATAGTCACATATATTCAACAATAATTTATTTCCCTCTGATTTATTATAATTTAAAAAATACAATACCACTCAAGAGAAAGAGAGTTTAAATCCGGTACCATCAGAAAAAAGCAATCCTCTATCTAAGAACATTAGGTCAAGGCATTTCTTCAAGGCAATTCTTCACTTTAGAATATAATCTAAACTCCTTACTTCTGCCTACAAGGCACTAACCTGGCTGCTGACTCTTCCGCCAGCCTTATCTCCTACCACAGGCTCGCACACTCACTCTGCTCTAGCCACAGAGGCATTGTTGCTGTATTGCTAACCTGACAAGGATATTTCCACCTTAGAGTATTTATTCTTGCTGTTCCTACTCCCCTAATGTTCTTCCCTCAAAACTTCACATTATTCATGTCTCAGAGCAAACGTCTCTTCAAAGTTGCTTCCACATGACCCTATTTAAAATAGCTTTCCCTTCCTTTCCCCATACACTTTTCTCTGTTTTGACTTCACAGAATTGATCATAGCCTAAAATTATATTATTTTGTGTTTACTTTTTTTTAAACCTCTCTTGCCAAACCAAAATGTGAGCTTCAAGAGGACATTCTGACATGTTCTCCACTCTATCCCCGGCACTCATAACAGTGCCTGGTGCCACGCAGGTACCCAATAAATATTTGTTTAATGAATGAACATACCAGCCTCAATGAATAAGTTGTATGCACAAGGGCATTCATAATAGGATTCTTTATGACAGAGACAAATTGCATACCACCTAAATGCCTTCTCCTGGGACCTGCTCAGTTTGCAAAATTCTTATATTTATTTGAAATTTTTGATATGCCAGATGGAAACAATGACAAAAAAAAGAACAAAAAATAAAGTTCATGCAACCCATCTTTATCACCATATATTTATCACCACCTATTTTTGCTGTCCTTGTTTACTGCCTCAAAGAACCATTTCTACCTAAGTGTTTTCAGAACTTGGATCATCCACTGAATAATATATATGTTATCTATATATAGTGTTATATATGTGAGAGAGAGATATATATATATAGTGTGTGTGTATATATATATATACCCATATATACTGATCATACCATGTAAACATAATGCAGACTTACACTTCATAAGTTTCTGTCTCCACTTGATCTCAGTTATCTTTTTTTTTTTCTTTGAGATGGAGTCTCACTCTGTAGCCCAGGCTGGAATGCAGTAGCTCACTGCAACCTCTACCTCCCTGGTTCAAGCGATTCTCCTGCCTCAGCCTCCTGAGTAGCTGGGACTACAGGCGTGCACCACCATGCCCAGCTAATTTTTGTATTTTTAGTAGAGATGGGGTTTCACAATATTGGTCAGACTGGTCTTGAACTCCTGAACTTGTGATCTGCCCAACTTGGCCTCCCAAAGTGCTGGGATTACAGGCATGAGCCACCATACCCAGCCAATCTCAGTTATCTTATCATTGCCAAATCAAGCATTATATTACCATAAGCCAATTGAATCCAATTTAATTTAAAAAAACTATTTATCATATGCCCACCATGTATCATCACTGTGTACCTATAGATCTTCCTCACTCCCTTATCACACATACATACCACACTGCCTTATGACCACCACCTCCTCATCAGTCTCCTCTTACATCCTCACCCTGACAGAATCTGTACCTTACCCCCTGAACACTCCTATGTCACTTCATCCAAACCAAGAGCATTCTTCCAGACTCACTAGCCAGGCATTTAGTGGACTCTTTCACTAGCCATCACCCAGTGCCAGGCATTTAATACTATCCTATCTAGAATTTAAATCTCTCAAATAGCTAAATTAATAGCCCAACCAGATAGGAAAACAAATACAACTTTCAACACAGTATCTCCTCTGCGTGCTTTGCTCCTGAAATACCTAGAACAGTTGTAGAAAATTATAGTACCCTAATCATACGGCTTAGGACAGAGCCATGCATTCTAATAGTAACCTGACCTCACAGGTATTAGAGAAGCCGTTTATTCAATTTCTTTATGCTTCCAAGCTCACATTCCCTAAAACAGTGGTCCTCAAATTTCTGGGTATATCATAATCACCTGGAGTGCTTGTGAAAACACTGACTATTTATTAGTTTATTTTACCCTCCTTTGAACCAGCTTTGTCATCCTGCTGGTTCCCACGTTATTGAATTAATTAAAACACTGACCTTTAACGCTGTGATTACTATGTCTGAGAATTACATTTTTAACATTTTGAAAATTATACTCCAGGGATAATAGAGATTATATCAGCCCAAAGTTCTCTAATTTGGAGAATCAATGTAGTCTGTTTCTGTCTTTATCAGAAATCCTGAGCACCTTTAAGGCATTTCAATCAGAGAAACCATCATGTGTAGTATGCCTTTCCTCAGAATTCCAACAAGGCCTCACATATTCACTCCCTGTCTGTTGTGACTGCAACCACCTTTGTAAAATTGTAACAGTGAGAGGAATCTAACATAACTGACTCCATCTTGCTTCTAATCATACAAGCTAGCTGTCTTTGCTCATTCTTGCACATAGGCCAAGCTAATTATGGGAAAAATTCAGATTACAGTTTAACTTTAAACTAAGGATGATAATAGTCCCTTCCTGAAACTAACCTCATCTTTATTCAGGAACCAAAAACATCTTCACAAAACTAATGAAAGACCCATAGGGCCCGAATTCTACTAAGACTGAGGCATAATTAAATGATAACCAGTCATTGTTTTCTAACTTGCCTTTTTGTAATTGCTTACTGCTCAGGAATCACACAGCCAATAGTAATAAGATTTGTGACTTACCCAATTTCCCCTATAGATGACATCGTTAGTGAAATCTAAGACTGGTGTTTAAAATATTTTTCGATATATTTTCAGATTCTGGGAGACCAACTGATACCACCTAGACTGGTGATCAGCACTCAGGAACTGACTCAGTGCAAGAAAACAGTTTCAACACCCCTGTGATTCCATCCCCAACCCAACAAATAAGCAGAAACCCATATTCTCCAGCAGCCTGCCTGCCAAACAACCATTGACAATCCGAGTCTCCAAATTCTTGGGGAGGCAGATTTGAGAAATATTTCCCATCCTCCTCACTTGACTGCCTTGTGATTATTAAACTTGTACTCAGCTGCAATACCTACTGTCTCAGTGTATTGGCTTTTCTGTGCAGCAGGCAAGAAGAACCTATTAGGCTATAACATGAATTCTGGTATTAGTTTAGCTTTGACACACAGCTGCTTTATGACTTTCACATCAGATTCGGATTGCTGAGGTGAAGAGGAAGAAAGACAAATTGTTCAATCAGTTAAACCTAAGACCAACCAAATATCTTGCTCTCTTGTTCTCACAAATTGCCTTTGCCATAAATTCTCTTTCCACCCCGCAACACCTAAAATGACCTAAAAACTTAGCCAATTCAAAAGAATTCAGAGGTAGATGAAGGCATCAGTTGACCTAGAAGGCCCCCACTGGTCAGATTAGGTATTGATGTGAGGAATTTGCAGAATCCTAGCCAGTGTCCCAGATTTGACCATTTTTACATTAACACCAATGTGACCTAAAAGATTTATTTTTAAAAAGAAGTTCTTCCACTGAACAGAAACTGAAACTAGAAAAAGATGAGGGATATACCCCTCTAGGGCTATATCACAGCCTGTCTCTGCAAGCCACATTATGTTACTGATGCCAGGATAAAGACCTCACTACAGAACCTATACTCAGCTTTTCAGGCTCAGCTTTTCAGGTGTCAGAAACAAATTCTCAAGTGGAAAACTTCAAGGAGTCAAAAGGAAAGGAACAGAGAATCCCAAGGTCTAAAAGAGAACTTTGTATCTATAATCCTGGGTGATCAGAAGAAAATGCACAGAAGTTCTATGCATTAGCCTGTAATGATGAGGGTGGCAGACGACCTGGAGAGGATAAGCAGGAGATACTGAAGGCAGAACAAATAGAGAACAGGAACTTTGACAGCAATGTGGGGTCTTTAGTAACAATGGAAACCTCACATACAGAACCTGAGCAACGTTCTTTCTTAGCTTTAGAGTAGAAATCTTTGTTGGAGTTGCCTGAACCCAGAGGCTGTGACTGCCCTGAATTTCCATATGCGGTTCTACTGCCTTGGACCAAAAGACAATGCACACCTTTGTAATATGAAAAGGAGAAAGCTTTCTGAACTTGACCAGCAGGAAGCAAAAAGTCATCCAATACAAATGTATGAAGAGACAGGCAAGCAGATGTACTTCCCTCTTTACCAGCATCCTCAGCCAGTTTTTGTGCCTAATGTTCACTTTTGTGCCTAATGTTCACAAAAGTACTAACTCAGGATAGATTTCCATCTTCACAGCTCACAGGCCCCTTGCTGTGACAAAGTCACAGCAAGCTGGCTGGAGAGCACTGGCATTTGTTTTAAGGATCAGACTTGCATTTTTTTTTTATTGTACTTTAGGTTCTGAGACACATATGCAAATCATGCAGGAGTGTTGCATAGGTACATACATGGCAAGGTGGTTTGCTGCCTCCACTCCCTGTCACCTATATCTGGCATTTCTCCCCTCCCCAACCTCCCCACCCCCTGCTGTCCCTCCCTTAACCTCCCCAACAGACCCCAGTGTGTGATGCTCCCCTCCCTGTGTCCATGTGTTCTCATTGCTCAACACCCATGTATAAGTGAGAACATATGGTGTTTAATTTTCTGTTCTTCTGTCAGTTTGCTGAGAATGGTGGTTTCTGGATTCATCCATGTCCCTACAAAGGAGACAAACTCATCATTTTTATGGCTGCATAGTATTCCATGGTGTATATGTGCCAAATTTTCCTTGTCCAGTCTATTATTCATGGGCATTGGGTTGGTTCCAAGTCTTCGCTATTGTAAACAGTGCTAC